CCTTTGCCCTTGGGCGGTCCCTTTGCAGGACCTTTTCCTGGTCCCTTCGCGGGGCCCTTGCTCATAGGTGCCTGACAAGCTCTTTGCAAGCGGAATGAAACATAGTCTCAGAAAGGAATAAGAAAGGAAGCGATAAGCGATGCCTCCAACCTAGAAGCGATGGCCTCCAACCTACTAGCAGCTGACAAGGATGAAGTTTAGCGTTAGAGAAAATTGCCCTTTATTTTTGAGGGTCTAGACTGATTTGTTCTGGAGTGCCTTTGTGTGCCTTGTTGTCCCGTGCGCTTGACACGCGACCATTTCCTGTCGAAGGCCCTAGGTGTTGGCTTTGAGTGTCTACAGAGACCTTTGAGCACCTAATAGCGATGGCCTCCAATCTAATAGCAATAAGCAGCTGCGTTCACCTTAATGGCTGAGAGACCTGTCCCCAGAATCGCCTCACTGCCATTAGCTCCGCTAAGCTCTTTACTGTCCTCGGCCTGACAAGAATCTTTTCCCCAACTGTGAACCAACTGCGAGATTTTTGTTGGATTGGGTGCAAAAACGTCTACAGCATTCAAAAGTATGGCTAGCTGCTGGCTCTTGGAGTAAAGAGACAATCGCAAACACATAACGACAAACACAACCACAAACACAACCACAAACACATAACCACAAACACACAACCACAAACACACAACCACAAACACATTCAGAAACACACAATCACAAACACAATCACAAACACACAACTACAAACACAACTACAAAGAGACAATCGCAAACACATAACGACAGACACAACCATAAACACACAACAACAAACACACAACCGCAACCACAACCACAAACACGCAACCACAAACACAACCACAACACACAGTCGGAGGACCCAAGCAAAATCGAGAACCACAAAGCTCACCATAGTGTGGGAGCAATCAGTTCGAAGATATTCCAGAGTGACTGTGGTCGGATGCAATTTCATATCTGTCGGCGCAGCTGTTTGCAAAGAGACTTGAGACAGGAAACATCCTACAGCAAATAATGTGCATATTAACTACTCGGGCCCCGGAAGCTTCCAAGTTTCGGGCCCCGAAGCTCGGGCCGCGAACTGCGCACTACTATTGCTACTACTACCACACTACTTACCACTACTACTACTACTACTACTACTACTACTACTAGTACTACTACTACTACTACTACTACTACTACTACCTACTACCTACTACTACTACTACTACTACTACTACTCGGGCCCCGGAAGCTTCCAAGTTTCGGGCCCCGAAGCTTGGGTCCCGAACTGTGCACTACTATTGCTACTACTACCACACTACTACCACTAGTACTATTGCTACAACAACAACAACTACTACCACTACTACCACTACTCTACTACTACTGCTCGGGCCCCGGAAGTTTCCCAGGTTCGGGCCCCGAAGCTCGGGCCCCGAACTGTGTCCAACAGCAACTACCACTACCACTACCACTACTACTACTACTACTCCTCCTACTGCTACTACTACTCCTGCTACTACTACTACTACTACTACTGCTACTACTACCACCACCACCACCACTACCACTACCACTACCACTGCCACTACCACTACCACTACGACTACGACTACGACTACTACTACTACTACTACTACTACTACTACTACTAGTACGGCAACGCTTGTTAAATATATGGTGGCCTGGCCAGAGCAATCGGCTCTGGAGGTAATATAAAATACCTGTTCTCACCGTATTTTTAACAGGTCTGGCCGGGCCAGAGCAATCGGCCCCGGAGGTAGTATAAATACTTGTTCACCCCGTATATTTAAATGCCTAGACCGCCGCAATCACCACCAAGACCACGGGGCCACCAAGACCACCGAGACACCAAGACCAGCACCAAGGCCACCGGGACCACCAAGAGCACCACCAACACCGCCTACCGCCGCAATCACCACCAAGAACACCGGGACCACCTAGACCACCACCACGAAGTCCACCACCACCACCAAGAGCACCACCAACACCGCCTAGACCGCCACAATCACCACCAAGACCACCAAGACCACGGAGACCACCAAGACCGGACCACCAAGACCACCAAACCGGCGCCCCCAAGACCACCAAGAGTAGACTGCCACAATCACCACCAAGACCACCGGGACCACCAAGAGCACCACCTACACCGCCTAGACCGCTACGATCACTAAGACCACCAAGAGCACCACCAACACCGCCTAGACCGCCACAATCACCACCAAGACCACCGGGAACACCAAGACCACCAAGACCGGACCACCAAGGCCACCGGGGCCACCAAGAGCACCACCACCGACACCGCCTAGGCCGCCGCAATCACCACCAAGACCACCGGGACTACCAAGACTAAAGTAGTCTGAGCGAGATACTGTGACATGACATGACCGTCTACTTAAGTAGTCTAAATGAGATAGGGCCTCCACATAATAGATAGTGCGTTTGAGCTCAGTACCAAATAAATGCCGCCGCACATATGTAAGCTGACCGTATATTTACATGGTAGCGTATATTCATTCCGTATGTTTGAAGGGTCGGGCTGGGCTGGCAAAAACCTTGCCGGAGGTAGTCTAAAATACCTGTTCACCTGTTTAAAAAATCAAAGCGATACTACTACTACTACTACCACTACCACTACTACTACTACTACTACTACTATAACTACTATAACTACTATAACTACTACTACTACTACTACTACTACTACTACTACTACTAACTACTAACTACTAACTACTAACTACTAACTACTAACTGCTAACTGCTAACTGCTAACTGCTAACTACTAACTACTAACTACCCACTACTAACTACTAACTACTAACTACTAACTACTAACTACTACTAACCACAAACTACTACTAACTACTACTAACTACTACTAACTACTACTAATTACTACTAACTACAACTAAATACTACTAACTACAACCTACTACTACTACTACTACTACCTACTACCTACTACCTACTACCTACTACTTACTACCTACTACCTACTAACTACTAACTACTAACTACTAACTACTAACTACTACTAACTACTAACTACTACTAAGTACTACCTACTACTAAGTACTAACTACTAACTACTACGAACTACTACAAACTACTACAAACTACTACAAACTACTACAGACTACTACAAACTACTACAAACTACTACTAACTACTACTAACTACTACTAACTACTACTAACTACTACTAACTACTACC